ATGTATGCTATTCACTGTATCTAAAACTAGAAATGAAAAAGACAATCCACAGAAATAAGAAAAGGAAGATTAACGAACAGAGCTAAAAGAAGGAAGATTAAACGGTATTCTTGGTTACAATTTATCTCGGTATCGATGTGCAATATAGGTAAAAGCAGGAACGTTTACTCTGGATGGGGACGCAAGTTAGCAAACGTTTTCGTAACTGACGGGACACGCATAGCGATAAGAGTTCTAGCCGATCAAAGCGGATTTATTCGCTGAAAGGAGAGGAAAAGAAAATAGAAAGAAAGGGAGAAAGAAGAATCGAAAAATAAAGGGAAAGGATAGTAGATTGAAAGGAAAAGAGGAAAGAAAATAAATTTGAAAAGAGAAAATAGAAAGAATCAAAATAAAAACATTGAAAAGGAACACCTGTTGAAAAGCCTCGTCTCCCTCTGCCAAGCGACTCTTGCCAGTCAGCCACCATAGACCCGCAGACCCCCAGCCGAGGTGGAGGCAGAAGGAGGCCAGTCCTTCAAGGCTTGAAGGGAAGCAGGGCAGGGCGCGGAGGTCGAGGGGGAAGTGGTACCGGACGCCCTTGCAAAGCTGTCTCCCCCGTGGCCGAGATGTTCCGGCCGGTCGGTCTCCTGCTCCACTCCCAATCCGTCCCGTGCTTCGGCTCGTACGAGAACGTCAGTCACCTCGACGTCCCTGACAGCTCCAACAAGAAGCGTACGTATTCCAACCTCCTCCTTCTCCCCGAGCTTCCTCTCCTCCTGACGTCTCTTGGTGTTTCTTTCTCGCGTCCTTGGGTGTCCCGAGAGACTGGCTTGGGGATGGGTGGGTAGGGGAGGGGAGGGGGGGGGGTATGTGTTTTTGCTCTTCACTGTGAACGAGCAAGGTGTATATTCTAAGGTTTATCTCCCTTGCATGATGACATCTCTCCCTCACCCCCAACTCCTCCGCTGGTAGGTACCCATGCTCACCCATTTGGCCTGCACACACACACTCAGAGTGGGAAAGAGATTACAGCCCCAGCCGTGGCGGGTTTTAAAGGGGCCTGACCCGAGAGGACCAGCGCCAGCATCACCGACATCACCTGACAGGTAAGGTTCACCTGGCTAGGCTCCCACAGGGCTACGCCTCCAGAGGAAATATAGAGAGCTCTTACGCAGACGTCGATAACCTAGGGAGCCTTGGGATTACACAGAGTATTCACTTCTTCGTCAGCTTTATTTCTTGTTGATATTAATATACATAAGCAAGTTGTTTTGGAATTCATGGGTATTCGAAGCACCATATCCTATTGCAGAGAGGATTAGTCCTTCGGTCTAATCCGTCTGAAAGGAACTTACGATCGATGCCGTGGGTTAAGTCCAGCCATCCAACCCCTGGAATAAAATCGAGATTGCTTTGTAATGCACCCGATTTTTCTTTCTTTTTTGCAGGCCAGTGAGAATGTTTTCAATTTCAATATACCATCTGATACGATGGACACTTCCGGATAAGCTTATACACTGAATAAACATCAGACAACAACTAAAAACGTGCATAAAAAATATTGGTATCAGAATTCCCTCTCTTATTAAGGCACGGGGGTAATGCGTCAATAAATTCAACTCTCACAAAGTAGGTTCGGGAAAAAGAGGTAGAACGCTCCATCAGTTCGTGCCTTTAAAAGCTTCTGTATTTTTGACAAACTCGCTCCGATATCAAATAACCTGCACGTCAAATATGCATACAAAATTTCATCTGATAAAATCGAGTGGTGTGTTTTCATGCCATCGCCGTGTTTTAAAAGATTGGATATTGAGATTACAAACAAGGAACGAACGATGGAATAATAATGCACTGTTACGGGAAGTAATACCATGGAACACGAAACTATTGTTCGATCAATGGAACAATTTTATGATGACTGTAAGAATGCCATAAAGAATATGCCTGGATATGTTTATGACCTTGTGGTCTTTTATATAACATGGTGTTATTTCGTCCGCTGAACGGATACTATGTTTACTCAAAGGTGTAAGGCATAGACATAAATAAGAGAGTTGACGCCTTTGTATTCATAGATGTGTTTATGCATGTATGAGTGTGGGAAAATATACAGGTATATGAATAAATATATACATACCTGCGTACATACATATGTACAATACATATATAAACACACACACACACATACACACACACACACACACACACACACACACACACACACACACACACACACACGCGCACGCACACGCACACACACGCACACGTGCGCACTTGCTACTAGATATATCCTTGGTCAGGATTTTCGATAGGCATCAATAAAAACAGTTCTTACCTGCACAACATATCCTCGCGAGCTTTTTATACACACACTTCCTTGAGTTTGTTTGTTTTTCTTTCTTTTTTTTTCTTTTTTTTTTAGCTCGAGCAGTACCTTATATTTTTGATCCTCTTCCTTCTCTTCTTTCTTCTTTTCTTTCATCCTTATTCTCCTCTCCTTTTTCTTCCTTCTTCTCCTTCTCCTCTTCCTTCTCATCGGTCTCTTCCTCCTTTTTTTCCTCCTCCATTTTTTTTTTCTTAACTTTTTCCTCCTTCATTTTCCTACCACCTCCTCCCCCCCCCCTCCTCACCCCACACCCCCAACGCTTCCATCTCCTCCCCCCCCAAACAAAAAAACAAAAAAAAAAACATACCTCTTAACATGATTGCTGCTGCTGATGTTTTTTTTTTTTTTTTTTTTCTTTCTTTCTTTTTTTGGGGGAGGTTTCTTTTTATTCTTTTTTTCTTTTCTTTTTTTTCTTTTTTTTTTGAGGCCGTCAGTCTACTCCCTTACCTGACAGAGGACCTGCTGAAAGGAAGGTTCGGTCGAGTGCTTCTGAGTAAGGATAGAAGGACGGGGAGAGTGGGGAGGGTGGGGGGGGAGGGGGCGAATAATAACGATGATAAAAAAAAAGAAGAAAAGAAAAAAAAGGAAAAAAAAAGGCATTGATCAATAAAAAAAGGATATATATATTACTGCGTAACGGACAAGAGTAAAGATTTTGAAGGACAGGAAGTGTGGGTGAGAAAGAAAGGAACGGAGGAAGAAAGAGAGAGAGAAAAAAAAAAAAATATTTGGAAAGATAGAAGGATACGTGGATTAGGATTGGCCTAGATCGTGAGGAAGGAAGGAAGAAAGGGAGGAAGGGAAGGAGGAGAAGAGAAGAAGACGAACAGAGGAAGAACAAAGGAGGTAGTAGAGAGTATGAGGAAGGAAGAGAAAAAGAGAATAGGGAAGGAGAAAGGATAAAGAGGAATAGAAGAAGCGAAGAAGTAGGAGCGAGTGTCAGGAAGGAAGGGAGAAAAGAAAGAAGGAAGGAGCAAGAGAGAAGAACAAAGAAAGAAAAGAGGAGATAGCGAATGTGAGGGAGGGGGAGGAAGAAGGAAATAAAAGAAAGAAAAAAAGGAAGAATAGAGAAAGGACAGAAAGAAAAAGATAAATGACTGAAAGGATTATGAAAAGGTGGAGGGTGTAAGGGGAAAAGGACGAAAAAAGAGGATTGGGGCAGAAAGATAAAAGGAAAGAAAAAAAAATGGACAAATAGACGAATGGGATGATAGGGGAAGGAAAGGAAGGACGAGCGAAAGGGGACACAAACAAAAGGTTAGGAGGATAAACAAATAATATTAGTAATAAATAGAAATGGGAGAGATTGCACGTTTAATAAATATGAAGATTTTGGGGACGAAGGGTGTGCGAGGTAGAGAAGGAAGATTGGAAGAAGAGGTGGGGAAGAAGCGAGGAACAAGGGGAAAATAGAAAGAGAAGAGGAGAAAGGAGAAGAAAATGACAAAGTGGATTAAATCATGAAAGTTTGAGAGCTCGAGGGAATTGGATTAACGTCTTTAATTACGCATTTCTTTTGCAATTACTAGGTGATAGTAGTAGTCATAGTAGCAGTTGCAGTAGCAATAGAACAAAAAGCAATGATAACAATTATTTGGTATTAGAGGTAGTGTTAGCAGCTGTAGTAGCAATTGTAGCAACAGAATAAGAGTGGAAGAATAAGTAAACAATAATAAAAGTAAGCATAAACCTTAAAATAGTATTAATATCAGAATTACCTAAAAAAAAAAAAAAAGTAACGTAGCAGTACTGACAAAAAATACACGAACATTTTCACCCAACAAACCTTCCTATCTTAATAATGACACATCCCTTATCGCTGCCTAAGCTAATAAATCCACATAGGATACCTCCTTAACCTTTAGTCCCGTCCCGTCGAGAATGCCAAGAATTCTTCGCGCACCGCAAGGAGAAAACTTAAACACAAACCTTTAATATTCCCACATAACACTTCTAAACTCTCGGGGAATCTCCAGGAGCCTACATAAATCCCATATCAGGTATACGGATTTTCTCAAAGACCGTGTAAATCCCCAAGGAGTTCCCTCAGCTGACATCAGAGAGACACATCCGGGACACGTACTGAACATGAGGAGCAATAGAGCTTAACTGTAGAGGGGGAGTCTGGGTTTAAGCGAGATTAACTGGGCTGAGGTGAGCTTGGGGATAGAGAGATTGGGTGAGGCGAGTTGGGGTATAATGAGCTTGGGAATAGTGAGATTGGGTATAGTGAAACCGGGTGAAGTGAGCTTAGGGATACGGGGATTGGGTGAAGTGAGTTGGGGTATAGTGAGACTGGGTGAAGTGAATTGGGGTATAGTGAGCTTGGGTATAGTGAGATTGGGTGAGGTGAGTTTAGCAAAGGTGAGCTGGGGTATAGTGAGACTGAGTGAGGTGAGCTTAGGGATAAGGGGATAGGGTGAGGTGAGTTTCGCTGAGGTGAGTTGGGGTATAGTGAGACTGGGTGAAGTGAGCTTAGGTATAGTGAGATTGGCTGAGGTGAGTTACGGTATAGTGACAATGGGTGAAGTGAGCTTAGGTATAGTGAGATTAGCTGAGGAAAGCTTAGCTGTGGTAAACTTGGGTATAGTGAGATTGGGTGAAGTGAGCTTGGGTATAGTGAGATTCGCATAATAAGTATAGTGAGTTAGCTAAGGTGAGTTCATCTGAGGTGAGCTCAAGCACAGTGAGATTACCTGTGATAAATCTAGCTGAGTTGAGCTTCAGAATTGTGAGTTCATTTACCATGAGTTTTCGTTAGGGAACAAACTTAGGATGCGACATGTAAAAAAAAAAACATAATAATAATAATAATAATAATAATAATAATAATAATAATAATAATAATGATGATAATAATGCTAATAATAATAATGATAATGATAATAGTAGTAACAGTGATAATAATAATGATAATAATAATAATAACAATAATAATAATAATAATGATAATGATAATAACAAAAATAATAATAATGAATTAAACTGAATTAAATCAAATAGAAGGAAAAGAGAGAGAGAAATACAATGCAAAACGCAGAGAAGAAAAGACAAAAACAAAAATAAAAAAAGTAAGAAAAGAGAATCGAAACGAAAAAAAAGTAAGAAAAGAGAATCGAAACGAAAAATAAATAAATAAATAAATAAATAAATAGATAAATAAAATGAATAAAAAAGGCTAAAACTAAAAAAAAAAAAAAAAGAAATGGAATAAACGAGAAAGACTTTCCTTACGAACTCACAAACCTTAATCAAATCCTGTCCCGGTTATTTCTCCAGATGATGTGTAATGAAATAACCTCATCACCCCTTCCTCGTGTCCCCCCCCCCCCCTTGGAAGCTCTCTCTTCTCCTTCCTCTTCGTCGCATTCTTCTTATTCTTCTTACTCTTCTTCTTCTTTTTTTTTCTTTTTCTTCATATACTTATTCTTTTCTTCTTTTTCTTCTTCATCATCGTCTTCGCTGTTGCCTTTTTCTTCTTCCTTTTCTTTTCTTCTTCTTCCTATTCCTCTTCGTTGTCGCCTTCTTCTTTTTTATTTTTCTTCTTCCTCTTCCTCCTCGTCGTCAATCGTCGTTGGGGTCTTCTCTTTCGTTTCTTTCTCTTTTCTTCTATTTCCTTCATTCTTCTTTCGTCTTCTTCTTCGTCTTTGTCTTCTTCCTTTCTTCTATCTTCTTTTCCATTGTCTTTTTCTTTTTTGTCCTCTTATCTTGTGTTTTTTTTCTTGGTTCTCCCCCTCCTCCTCTTTTTTTTTCTTCCTTTTCTTCTTCTTCCATCTCCTGATTCTCTTCTCCTGCTTCTATAAAGTTTTATATAATTTCTTGTATAAGTCAATTTCTTTTATTTCGCATCTTATCTGTCTATCAATCTATTTTTCTATTTATTCATCTATCTATCTATTTTTCTATTTATTCATCTATCTATCTATTTTCTATTTATTTATCTATCTATCTATATGTTTGTCTATCTATCTATCTATCTATAAATCTATAGTTTTTAGAAGAATTTTGAGAGTGAAGGAAAAACATCCTCTCTCTGCTCCTCATTAAAGTGTCCGACCCACCCAGAGGGAAGGTGGGCAAGCTCCAAATCAGTTACCATTTTTTGCGTTTAATTGTTTTCGCCCACCTACCAACAGTGCAAAAACGGGAGCTGGAGTTACCTAATAACACTCTATTTCTTCATCTAACTAATTTCATCAACATCCAACTACCCATTAGCCCACTGACAACGAAGATAAGGTGGGCTACCCTTTACCCATCAGCAAAGTTCATTTCTGTATTCAACTATGTTCACCCACCTACGCCCACTTAAAGAGAATTTGGAGTGGGCTACCCTTTACCCATCAGCAAAGTTCATTTCTGTATTCAACTATGTTCACCCACCTACGCCCACCTATAGAGAGTCTGAAGTGGACTACCCTTTACCCATCAGATGTATTCAACTATCTTCCCCCACTTACGCCCACCCAAAGAAAATTTGGAGTGGGCCACTTCTGTATTTCTGTATTCACCTGTTCACCCACCAACGCCCACCTATAGAGAGCCTGAAGTGGACTTACCTTTTACCCATCCGATGTTTTCAACTATCTTCACCCACCTACGCCCACCTATAGAGAGCCTGAAGTGGACTTTCCCTTTACCCACCAGGTATATTCAACTATCTTCACCCACCTACGCCCACCTAAAGAGAATTGGGAGTGGGTTACTCTTCACCCACCAGCAATGCCCATTTCTGTAATCACCTGTTCACCCACCAACGCCCACCTATAGAGAATCTGAAGTGGGTTGGCCTTTATACCACTATCTAAGCTCAGCTCTGTGTTTAATTGGCTTCACGCACCAACGCCCGCTAGATAATTGAGTCTGTCATGCTGTCATTAAGTGATGGGCAGCTCTTATGCCCAGTTAGCTTAATCTTCGAATCCTTATTAATATTGCAGAGACTTAGAGGAATGAAATGGGAATGGTGTTACTATTACTATTTATTTGATTTAGTGTAACTGATGATACGAGAAAATAAAAGAAAAGGCTGTAATGATGATGAGGAGGATGATAACAGTGATAGCAATAATTGTAATGATAATAATAATAATGATAATAGTAATGATAATAATAATAATAATAATAATAAT